AATAGCAAAGGCAATTCTGGGCAACAAAGGCAAGGCAGGGGGCATCACAATCCCTGACTTGAAATTATACTACAAAGTTACTGTGATAAAAACAGCACAGTATTGGCAAAACACCAGACCTGAGGATCAGTGGAACAGATTAGAAGATGCAGAAACAACTCCAGACATAATCAGCCACCTCATCTTTGACAAAGGACCCAAACACCTTCACTGGAAGAGAGCCTCTTAAATAAATTGGTGCTGGAAAAACTGGCTTTCCACATGCTGAAGACCCATATCTTTCACCACCATGCACTGAACTAAAATCAAAGTGGATCAAAGATCTAAATATTAAAACAGAAATACTTCATCTGCTGGCTGATAGAATAGGTAAAACTCTTGAAGACATTAGTGTAGGCAAAGACTTCATGAGCAAAAGCCCTGTTGCACAGGAACTAGCACAAAGGACCAACAACTGGGATCCATCATATTAAAAAGGTTTTGCACAGCAAGAGAAACCACCAACACAGTGAAGAGATAACCCACAGAGTGGGAAAAATTTTTGCCAGCTGTTCCTCAGACAAAGAACTGCTATCCAGAATACATAAAGAACTATAAAAATCAGACCTCCCAAATTTAAAGTTCCAATCCAAAAATGGGCATCTGAAATGAATAGACACTTCACAGATGAAGTAGAAACAGCAAATAAATATAGGAAAAATTGTTCAACATCACTGGTCATTCAAGACATGCAAATTAAAACAACACTGAGATTCTACCTCACCCCAGAAAGAATGGCTGCTCTCAAGAAATCAACCAATAACAAATGCTGGCGGGGGTGTGGGGAGAAAGGAACCCTTCTCCAATGTTGGTGGGAGTGCAGACTGGTGCAACCACTGTGGAAATCAGTATGGAGATTCCTCAAAGAACTAGGGCTAGAGGTCCCATTTGATCCAGTTATTCCCCTGCTGGGTATCTTCCTGAAAGAATTAGAAGCATCGTACCACAGCGATATATGCACAACCATGTTTATAGTTCGTGATAGCTAAATCTTGGAAACTGCTCGAATGCCTATTAACTGACGAATGGATAAAGAAAATGTGCTGTTTTAAAAAATACAATGTATTTAAAAATACTCTGCCATAAAGAAGGATAAGAAGGATAAGCTTGAGACATTTCTAGCTCAATGGATTCACCTTGAGACTATACTTCTAGGTAAAATAAATCAGGCACACATATTTAAATACCACATTGTTTCTCTGGTGTGAGAAACCAAAAGTGGAAATAAGGACTAAAATGGGATGTTGGGAAATGGGAATTAAATATTCAAATGTGAAGGGGAACAAGGGAAGAGGGAGGGGGAAAGGAAAGAAGGGACAAGGAAAAAAGAGACTAGAAGAAAAAATGGAAACAAAGCTTCTGTAAATAAGGAGGGGAAGAGGTTGAAGGGAGGGGAGGAGAATGGGGAAAAAGCAGTAGGATATATCACGTCCAGGTGCAAGCTCCCTATGGTGGGTGAGTGTTATCATTATCTTTATCTAAATTGTACCAATAAATGTTTTGCTTAAAAATGCCTGCTGTGGTGCTTTATACTCTTATTATAAAATATGGTTTAAAGGCACAAGGCCATGGCCCTTGTCATAGCAGTTGAATGTACATTGAAATATTTTTCTATGATTTTTTTTTCCGATACCAGGATCGAACTTAGGACCTCGCACTTGTGAGGCAGGCGACCTTTCTATGATTTAAAAAAAAAAAATCACTATAGCTAAATAAGTCAGCAAGCTGTTGTAACATGTAAGGTCATGGTAATTGATGTAGTTATATTTGAAATCAGATTTTTATAACTTGCATTTGTGTACGAAATTCTCAGTGGATTTAAATGTTGTGAAAATTTTATTCAAGATTCAGATATGAGTTATGCTTTACAGTAAAAGCTGAAATGAGGCCATTTACTTTAAAATGGAGCACTGTGCAAGTTTGGAAATGTACATTAATAATTTACTGTACACAATATCTTGAGTTTGTTTATACCTCCAAGTTTTTACACTGAAGAGAATTTAGCTTTAATTAAATTCAAAAATTTCTTTTTTTAAAGGAATAAACTGTGTGGCTATATCTGTATAAATGTGCTTTTTATTTTCTGGATGCACAAAAAAGTTTATTCTTGTATTCTCACTGCATCATTATCTGATTGCAAAAATTAAAGTATAATTTACAAGAAAAACAAAAAATAAAAAATAACCAACCAGCCAACTAGCCTATGCCCCAAACAAAATAAAACAGAAACTGGGGAGGGGGTATCTTGAGAAGAATGAGCAAAGCTAGGTACAGGCTGAGTGAGGCTGATAGAGAGAAACATGAAGGCCAAATGAGAGGGAAAGCATCTGTGTGCTCATCCATTATTAGTTGAGTGCTTACTTTGTGCCACACATTTTATTGTAAGCTGGAGACAAGCATTGAAGAAAACTTATATTCTGATAGAAGAAGACAATAAACCAACAAACAAGTGGACTATATTTCACGTCAGATGGTGACAAATGTTACAGGGAAGAAGCACGGAAGGCTGGTATTGTGCTGATGAGACTTAAATCCACGGAATGAGCCAGGTGGTGCACACTTAAAATCCCAGCACTTGGGAGGCCAAGGCAGGAAGATCGCAAATTAAAACCCAGCCTGGGAAATTTAGCAATTTAGAGAGACCCTTTTCCAAAAATAAAATACAAAATAAATTAATAAAATAAATATAAAGGGCTGAGAATGTAGTTCAATATGAAGCCCCTGGGTTCAATCCCCAGTACTGCAAAAACAAACAAAAACCAATAAAACTCTTGGAATTGCCAGGCATGGGGAGCCATCTGTATAACCCCAGTTTCTTGGGAGACTGAGGAAGGAGGATCGAGGGCCAAAAAGAAAGAGAAGAAGGTCTTAGAGAAGGCCTCATCAAAATGTGAGGTTGAATGCAGATGTGAGGCAGGGAGGCAGGGAGACGTGCAGTACCCAGTTTTCAGAGTTTGATTCCTGAGTTGATGCCTGCAAGTTGCTTATGGTGAGCAGCTTCATCACCAGTACTTGGAGCTTTAGGGATGACTACTTCTCAGAAGCATCTTCCAGGTGTAGCTGGCTTTGGGGCTTGAGTCTGTTGCAGGACCCCACCTCTTCAATTACTGGGGAGGAGAAGTTTCTGCCTATTTGGCCCAGCCGCCAGTTCTTTGGCACTGGCCTGTAGGGTTTTTTTTCTTTCTTTTTAACGACCCTTCGGTGATCTCAGTCTTGGTATACCAGGAGGAACAACTGCTGAACACAATTACGTCACCTTGGCTGACGTAGTACAATCAGCAATAACAATAGCATCAAACACAGCCTAGAAAATGACAAACTGTAGCCCTTAATATGGCATTCTCCTAATCCCTTAGGAGAAGATTTAAAAGGGGGTGGGGGTAAAAAACAGAAATAGAAGAAGAGGAAGCGATCGGAAGCAAGGCAGAGGACAAACTAGGAAACTGGTGAAGCAGACAGGTGGGAAAGAGAAAAGAAAAGGAAAAGAACAGAACAGAGCAAAAACAAAAAAATTAGAAACTGTTCAAATAATCAAGAAAACAATCAAGAAAAAACTAAACAAAACAAGAATAAGAAAGGAAAAAAAGAAAAGGAAAAAGATTAAAAAACCCCAAAATGTCCAATTCAAGATGTGTCTCTCCTGTCACTGTTAGGTAAGGTGGGTAAACAGAGTCCAGAGCCAAACTGATTAATCCCAGCAAGTTAGCTGCAGCTTCACAGTGGGGTAGTGGATAATCCCAGCCAGCCTGCCCCTTTAGTTCCTTTGAAGTTCAGGCCAGTTTCTGGCTCTGAGGCTGGAACCGGATTCCTCGAGCCTACAACAGTCTATGTGTCTCTCCTGCTGGTTTGAACTCTGCTCCCTGACCTCCTGCTAACTTGAACTCGGCACCCATACTGAGGCACCAGGAGCCACTAGATGGAGTCGCCTACAGCTGTTCCGAGTTCTAAGCTTAGTAGGCCCCTCTCCAAGATGGCTACCAGCCAATTCCCTTCTCCTGGGTGAGGTCTGAACCCGGATAACTCACCAGCCGCTGCAGTCCAGTTTGTCCACTGGCGTGTTTCTCCAAGGAGGCTTCTGGGGGCGTCTGTAGTCACTGTGTTCTGGGGCCGTCTGTAGTCAGTTCGGCCTTTCCCTTGAGGAGAGTCTGGGCTCTGGGAGAGAGCCTGCCTGGTCTTTCTCCACCCTCCCTGTAGGCTTCAGTTCTTGTCAGACCCTTCCTGCATCCCGGGGAACTGCTTCCCTCCTCCTCCTCGAGCTGCTGTATTCCAGTGTCAGGACACCAAGTCTCAGAGGGGCTCTTTCTCTGCTGCTCACCATTCCATCTTCCCAGAAGTCTGCTGTGCAGTATCTGGGTTTGAAACCTCTCCCAGTCAGAGAGAGTGGCAGGTGCAAGGCTCTTGTGGAACGGGGGAAACAGGATAAGAAACAGGCAGAGCAATGAATGGGGTCAGATGCTGAATGAAATCTAAACTGAGACTGAAAGAGAAGCATACATACAGAAGGCCTGGGGCTCCCAGGGCAGAACGGACTTCTGGCTGCGGGGTCTGGATTCACTTCATTCATTTATTCAACTATCTATCCTTCATTCTCCCAGCACTCAGGGGCTCACGTGGCTCCAGGGCTGTTAAGCACTCAGGAGAAAATGCCCTCGCCTGACCTCTGGAAGAAAACCTTTCAGGCCTTTTGCGGGTCGGGTGATTCTGTCGGAGACCTGGGTGAGCTGGGATCTCGGGAAGCAGAGGCTGACAGCTGGGGAGGGGCACAGGCAGGGGGAAGGAAGCCCGGGTGTAGAGGTGGAAGTGGGTTAGGAAGGGGACGCTGCCTGGTGCTCGCATTTCTGTCCCCCACTGGCTCTGAGCCCCGACCTCAGGCCGGGCCTGCGAGAGCCGCGGATGGGCCAGGACAGGTGGCCCTGACAGGCGCCTGCCAGCTGGCTGCTCAGCTAGATCAGTTTCCAGAAGTGATTCGAGGAGGTGGGCAGCGCAGCTAAATATAGCCCCGGGCAGGCTCCGCCCTCTGTCCCCTGTCCTGTTCTGGGTGTGCCTATGCCCCTGCTGCCCACTGCTGTCCTTGCTCTAAGCCTGCTGCCGCCGCAGCTCTGATCGCCTCGGGGAGGCCTGACTCTGGTCCTCCGGGAGTCTTCTGTGGCTAAGACCTCGCACACGACCTGTGAGTCCTGCGGGCCTGGAGGCGCGGGGGCCGGGCCGGGGCTGGGGGGTTCTGGAGAATTCAGGGTTGGCGCGCTGAGGCCTAGCCTGGGCCAGAGGCTGCGGCCTGGCTAAGACAGGCAGGCTCAGCGAGACTGTGCTTAGGAGCTGGGTGACCGCGGCCCGACCGACCCGGCACGTTTCGGTGGGTCTGAGAGGAGCGCGGGGGGCTGTCTTTAGGACCGAGACCGAGTCCCTTGTCCTCCGTGGCAAAGCCGGAGTTCCTCCCCGAGCCCCGGGGAGGGCTCCTCCCCGAGGGCTGCAGACCCGAGCTGACCCCGCTGACGGCCGCGCCCCCTGCAGGCGCCATGTCGGCCGCTCCCGGCCTCCTGCACCAGGAGCTGTCCTGCCCGCTGTGCCTGCAGCTGTTCGACGCGCCGGTGACCCTGGAGTGCGGCCACAGCTTCTGCCGCGCCTGCCTGGGCCGCGTGGGCGGGGAGCCGAACGCGGACGGCACGGCGCCATGTCCCAGCTGCCAGGCGCCCACGCGGCCGCAGGCGCTCGGCACCAACCTGCAGCTGGCGCGCCTGGTGGAGGGGCTGGCGCGGGCGCCGCAGGGCCACTGTGAGGAGCACCGGGACCCGCTGAGCGTCTACTGCGAGCAGGACCGCGCGCTCGTGTGCGGCGTGTGCGCCTCGCTCGGCTCCCACCGCGGCCACCGCCTGCTGCCCGCCGCCGAGGCCCACGCGCGCCTCAAGGTGGGCGGCCGGGGGCCCGAGGGGCGAAGGCCGAGTGGCCAGGGCGCGGGAGGCTCGGTTCCGGTGGAGCTGGGGTCCGGGACCCCACGTCGCGCCTCAGCGCCCAGGAGTCAGGGTTGGCGAAGGAGACCGGCCCACGGCGGGCGCTGGGACAGGCCGCAGGGCTCCGCCCTCGAGCCGGAGTTCGCGTCCTCAAGGCCCCAGCCTGGCCTCAGGGGACTCCTAGCCCACCCCAGAACCCTACTCCTCCGAGCCCACCCGGCCCAGGCCCACCTGTGGGGCGGACCCCAGCATGCACAGCCTCGCCCATCCTTATCTTCGGACAGAGACCAGAACCCTGGAAGGAACTGGGGGCAGAAGCGGCGAGATCCAGAGATCCAGTCTGCGGGTCGCAGGGGTGGGGTGGAAGGGAGAGGAAGGCAGGGGGATGCCTGGGGTCCGGGCGAGAAAGGGTGGGGCTCACGTCAGGTCCCCAAGCCGCTCGGCCTCGCCTCAGGGCAGACGCGTGTCCAGCAGCAAGGCGGACGAGAGGTCGGCCGAGTCCGTAGGAGGCGACGTCGGAGAGCAGCCCGAGTAGCCCGAGCCGCTGCAGCCGACGGCCCGGGAAAGGCCGCGACCCCTCGGCACACGGCTCCCGCAGTCCCCGCTCCCCGCTGTTAGGGGCAGGGTCACCCCGATTCTGCAGAGGGGGACACTGAGCAGGAAGCCACGGAGTCAGGAAGGGACCCGCCGGGTTCCGAGACCCCCGCCCCCAGCAGAAGCAGCTTTGTCCAACTATTAGGGGCTCCCCGTGCTCGCATTCTGGGAACCACAAGCTCACAGGTTCTGGGTAGGAGTCAGCCTGGGTTTAGGGTTCAGTTGGCCCATTCAGGACGCCTTCAGAAAGCTGCGTGTCCCCAGAGGCGACTGAGGCCCTGGCGTGGGGTTTGCATTTCCTCCTGCACAGTCTCACTGGCCCCAGAAGCCTGCTGTGTGGACAGCGCTATACCTGCCAGTCTGGTCTGGGAGACCAAATTCCACCGGAGCTTGTCATCCCTGGGGCTGGCTGTGGGGGAGCGGGTTCAGGGAGGGGTTGGACCCCAGGACCAATGCTGGCCAGGCCCGGAGGCATGAAGGGTCTGGGTCTGGGGACATGGCCGGAGGAGCTGGCACTGAGGCCCAGCTCCGGATGGCAGGCGTGGGGTGCGCTGGGGTGGTCAGCATCTCGTCTCTCTTACGCCCTGCTCCCAGACTCAGCTCCCGCAGCAGAAGACGCAGCTGCAGGAGGCCTGCGAGCGCAAGGAGAAGAGCGTGGGCCTGCTGCAGCACCAGCTAGTGGAGGTGGAGGTGAGGGCCGCTGCGGGCCTGGGATCAGGGGTCCGGGCCGAGGGCGTCCTGCCGAGTGCTCTCCCCTGCCCCTCACAGGAGACGGTGCGGCAGTTCCGGGGGGCTGTTGGGGAGCAGCTGGGCAAGATGCGGCTGTTCCTGGCTGCCCTGGAGGGCTCTTTGGACCGGGAGGCGGAACGAGTTCGAGGCGAGGCTGGGGCGGCCTTACAGCGGGAGCTGGCGGGCCTGAACTCCTACCTGGAGCAGCTGCGGGAGATGGAGCAGGTGCTGGAGGAGGTGGCCGACAAGCCACAGACCGAGTTCCTCATGGTGAGCGGCATGATCCCAGCCCCGGCTCAGGCTCCACGGGCGGGTGGAGGCGACGAGGCCGAGAGGCATGGGGTGCGCTGGGTCACACATGGGGGGCACTGCACAAGGTCTGTTGTCCAAGTGGACGTCTTTCGTACTACAGACCATTAGGTCCATTTACTCATCAGGACAGCCTTCCGACAGGAACACGGGTTCCCTAGGGAGGGCACTGTGCTCTAATGCAGGCAGAGGGACGGGGCTAGGGTGACCTTGAGCCCGGGGTCCTTCTGGCTCTCCTGCGCCTTCCGGCCCAGTGCTCCGGTGCCCCACATCCTCAGCAGTCCCCAGAGTCCTTCCAGCTTGCTTCACCTCCACTCTCTTTCTCCCCCAGAAATACTGCCTGGTGACAAGCAGGTGAGGTAACCTGGCTGTGCCCCCTTTGCCCTTGGCTTCTAGTGACACCTGCTAGTCACCGTGCACTCCCACGCTGTGCGCCTCACATCGCTCCCCGCTCCCTGTGCTTTGTGTGGACACAGAAACCAGTTAGACCCGGCCCCCACCGAGGGCAAGGCTGCTGGTGTGAGCCAGCTGGGTGGGCCTCACAGGCACCGTGCGCCCTGCTGTGTGGTGGTGGGGCCAGGGGCTTCCCAGAGGAGTGGGCATCTGAGCTGGCTCCTGGAGGAAGGGACGGGCGCTAACTGGGAAGAAATGGGGAAACAGCAGGACAAGTAGAGGGAGAGCAAGTGCAAAGGCCGGCAGGCCAGAGACAAAGCTGGTGTGGCAGACTAGGAAGGGCTGAGAAGCTTGGACCTTATCCCAGCAGAAGAGTTTTATTTATTTCTTAAAGTAAATTGTAGAGCCCAGTATGGTGGGACACCACCTGTGATCCCAGAACTCAGGAGGCTGAAGCAGGAGGATCACCAAGAGTTCCAGGCCAGCCTGGGCTCCATAGTGAGTTCAAGACAGCCTGCACTACGTAGTGAGACCCTGTCTCAAAAAGCAAAACCAGGTGCCAGTGGTGCTGCACCTGCCTTGCAAGCATGAGGTCCTGAGTTTGACGCCCAGTACTGCAAAAAAAAAAACAAGACAAAAAAACCAAAAAAACCATTTTATGTTATATATATTCTACAATTTTTTTCTTTTTTTTTGAGAAAGGGACTTGCCATGTAGCCCAGGCTGGCCTTGAATTTGCAGTGACTCTCCTGCCTCGGCCTCCTAAGTGTATATTACAAGTGTGTGCTGCCACGCCTGGCTCTTTTAAGCATTTGTAAGTGTACAGTGTATACTCTGTGGCACTGGCATATTCACATGCAGCCATCAGCTCCGTCCATCTGCAGTGCTTTTTCCTGCGCCCAAAGCGAAACTCCCGCAGGAGTTTTCAGTGCAGCTGCAATGTGAGGAGATGCTGGAAGCTTCCTTCCCCTCAGGCCCTATCCTCTGTGGGGAGGGCAAAGACACCTCCCTTCACCTCCGCACCCCCAGGCTGCAGAAGATCCTGGCAGAGTCATCACCCCCTGCCCGTCTGGATATCCAGCTGCCTGTCATTTCAGATGACTTCAAATTCCAGGTGTGGAGGAAGATGTTCCGGGCTCTGATGCCAGGTACCGAGAGGGCGGTACCTGGGTGTGTGTGTTAACCAGGGGCCAGTGGGAGTCCCGGCTCAACCCAGGTCACTGAAGAGGGCACCCACACTGCAGCTCTGGCTCCCCTTGCAGCGCCTAACCCGCACATGGGGGACTTCTGAGGGCGCGGGGCTCACAAGTGACTGACAGGGGCGGACAGGAGGCTGGGGCGTGGGTCTGAACCCCAGAGCCCTGCGCCACCCTTGGCCTCTCGCTGGATGTGGAGATGCTGACTCCTGCTCATGGGAGTGCAAGGGGGCTGGCTGAGGATCCGCGGAGCCCCTGGCTCCCTGGCACGGGCCTGGGTCACACACTGGCTGTCGTGGCCACGGCTGGGGAAGCTCAAGGCCTCAGCCTCACCTACCAAGAGGTAGAGCCCGTCTGGGTGCTACAGGGCACGAGGCGCGGCTGCAGCCGTGTGGCCCCTGGTGGTCAGTGCGGTGGGGCTGGAGACCCTGGGTTTCATCAAGAGAAAAGTAAGACCCAGAAGCCCGCTCAAAGTGACGGAGGCCGGGTGTGGTGGCGCCCAGCTGTGATCCCTTCAGCCTCCTAGGCGTGTAGCTCAGTGCAAAGGGTCCGGTCCCCAGGGACCCCACCCTCCGGCAGAGGGACCGAGAACCGGGCCTCCTTGGCGCTGCAGGCGGCAGGTCCCCGGCTCCGTACAACTCTGTCCGGCGCGGGGCTGGAGGGAGGGAATCAGGCAGCTGGGCAGAAGGAATCCGGGAGGCGCTGCCCGGCACAGGCAGCAGCCGAGGCCTGCTGACCGCGGCGTCCCTGCAGCGCTGGAGGAGCTCACCTTCGACCCGGGCTCGGCGCACCCCAGCCTGGTGGTGACCGCCGCGGGCCGCCGCGTGGAGTGCACGGAGCAGAAGGCGCCGCCGGCCAGCGAGGACGCGCGCCAGTTCGACAAGGCGGTGGCGGTGGTGGCGCAGCAGCTGCTGTCGGCCGGCGAGCACTACTGGGAGGTGGAGGTGGGCGACAAGCCGCGCTGGGCCCTCGGCGTGATGGCGGCGGAGGCGCCCCGGCGTGGCCGGCTGCACGCGGCGCCGTCGCAGGGGCTCTGGCTGCTGGGGCTGCGCGACGGGAAGGCGCTGGAGGCGCACGTGGAGGCCAAGGAGCCGCGCGCCCTGCGCGTCCCCGAGCGGCGGCCCACGCGCGTCGGCCTCTACCTGAGCTTCGGCGACGGCGTGCTCGCCTTCTACGACGCCAGCGACGCCGACGCGCTGACCCCGCTCTTCGCCTTCCACGAGCGCCTGCCGGGGCCCGTGTACCCCTTCTTCGACGTCTGCTGGCACGACAGGGGCAAGAACGCGCAGCCGCTGGAGCTCGTGTGGCCCGAGGCCGGGGAGGCCTGAGCAGGAGCAGGAGTAGGAGCAGCGGGCGGGCGGGCGGGGCAGGGAGGAGCGAGGCACAGACGGAAGACGGGGTGAGGGGTCGGTACCCGCGAGCAGCCTGACGGGTCCGTCAGAGCCCTGAGCTTGGCCACCAGGCGGCCCACGGGTGCAGGAAGAAGCTGAGGTGGAGGGAGGGAGGGAGCGGAGGGCCCAGGGTGGGTGGGTCTGCAGAGGCACAGGTCTATTCACAGAAATTTACAACGGAGCAGAAAATAAGCAAACACAAAATTTAAAGCTGTCAGAGGCCATGGTGGGCCACCAACTTGCAGCTTAGCTCCCTTGGCTTTGAGAATGTTCACTGTGCACCCTGGACATGGAAGAGGTTCCTCTGGGCCCTCTTCTGTGGGGCATAGAAGGCACCCACCAGGGCTACCGGAATCGTCCCCCCGCTCACCTCGGGCTGCAGCTCGCACCCCATTTCCTGGGCTCTGGAGGGCCCACTGAGGCCAGAAGGAGTGCCCCTGTGTGCTGCAGAGAGGGGCCTTTGGGGATCGGGCCAGTGGGACTGCAGGTTGCTCCTGCTTCTGTCTGAGGGCAGGTGCTGGCCAGGCGGGGCTGCTGCTGTGTGTGACAGGGCCGGGGTCTCTCAGCAGCTGCTTGCCGTGTGGCGCTTTTCCTGGGGGATGGTAGGTGTGGGGCTGACAAAGGGAAGGCTGTGGGTAGGTAGGAAAGGCCTAAAGGCCTAGCCAGGAAGAGGGGCAAGCTCAGCACGTCCCCTGGCAGGAGACCTGCGGGGATCTGAGAGTCGGAAGGGAGGATTCATCTCAGAAGCTCTTCAGCTAGAAGACAAACAATAAAGGAAATGAATTACTTGGCTGTAAAACTCATCACAATTGATAAAACCTATTATAATCTGACTCCTTCATTTCATCTGTGTGCAGAGACAAATGACCTGTTGTTGGTCAGTGGCCTTTTAATTATGCTTTTTTTGTTTTTGTTTGTTTTTTTGGACAGGGTCTTGCTATGTAGCCCACGGTGGCCTCAAACGTGTGGCGATTCTCCTATGTCAGCCTCTTGAGTGCTGCGATTACAGGTGTATGCCACCATGCCCAGCTAGCCTCTGAGCTTGACCTGACTAATCTTCCTGAAAACATAAATGCTCTATCCCCGGCATGGGAGATACAAACACACCCCACAAATGCCTTCAGGTGACCAGAGTCAGTTGGAGCAATCTCAAAACTTTTGACTCTGTTACCTCTGAGTGTCTGGCTCTGCAGTCAGGGCCCTGGGCATTTCCAGGCTCATCTGCTATCCCTGCCCTGTGGATGTCAACCCTCGGCCCTACTGCATCTTGGATCCCTTGTGTTCCCTAGTCAGGGATCTCTTTGCTAGGAAGGAATTTCTCTCCCACTCATCCTTCAGGACTCTGGAAATCAACTCCCCCCCGCCCCCCACTCCTGGAGATTGAACCCAGGGCTTTTGTTTATTTTTTACGTTTTGAGACAGGGTCCTCTTGGGTCACAAAATTGCCCAGGCCTGCCCACTTCTGACCTTTCTGCCTCAGCCTCCTAGAGTGTTGGTATTATAGGCAGGCAAGTTAGAAGACAGCAGGCGGCTGGAGAGGCAGTGGGTCCAAGAGAGTCAGGAGGACCACACAGGCCAAGGCTAGATGCACAGGAGCCTGAAGTGAGAGTGAACAAGAACCAGACACAAGTCCAGAGCTGGGACAGGTAAAAGCAGGGTGACGGCGACCACTGTGACAGCTTCTGTTCCTACTGTCTGGAAAAGGTCTTTGCCTCTCTGTTCTTTTAATAAACCATTAGGTAGAGGCCAAGAGACGCCTGGGGACACATGCTTGCTGTGTGGCTCAACTCCTCACAGGCCCGTTTCTGGTTTAAGTGGCTTTCGTCCTGTAGGCCGACCTCACTTTGACTCAGAATAGTCTCAGGCCTGGTCAGTTTTTGGTATAAACTCCTAGACAGAGAGTCCCTGTGGCATCCCACTTTCGGGTCTCCTTCCCACCACTGGGAGCTATTTCTTTCTTCTTAACAAACATTCTTCCGGTCTACCTCCTTTGTCCTCAACTCCACCCTTTGATTTCATGAAGAATCATGCTATTGCATTTCAGTTACACGTGTGCACCGCTATGCTGGGCTTCTTTTCCCTTCCTGATCTAGGCTCCTCCAGAAAGAGCTGGTCACTCCCCATGCTGGCTCCCAGCACCCCTTCCTATGCACTGCACATCTGTGGCCCCCAGCTGCCTACACAGGGGCTCTGGAGGCCTGGGGAGGGATAGGTATCCAACGGCTCAAAGCCACTTCCCCAGGAAATGAGGGAGGTTCTGACAGGTGGTAAGCACAGTCGTTAGGAGGGCGGATGCCTGTGGGAGGGGACTGAAGCGAGCCATGTGACTGTGGTGAAGCCCGACCCGAGTGCAGACCAGAGGCCCAGAGCTGGTGGAAGCATCCTCGACTGTTGCGAGGGCTCCTGCAGCCAAAGGCACCCGTCTGGGGTCCTGCGTCTCAGGGACCGGCTGCCTCTCCCCCGGCCTCAGTTGAGAGCTGCACATGCTCCTTGCAGCAGAAGTTGTATCAGGAAACTTTGTTTCCTTGACTGCCACAAGTTCCTTCTGCAGTTTCCCCAGCCTGAGCCGGATGCACTGAAGGAAGTCATTGTGTGGTTGCCCAAGGTGACTGACAGAGATGGGATGGAGGGAGGCACTGCTGGACCCAGGTGTCCCTTGGTGAGAGCGGCTGCCTGGGCCAGCCAAGTTCCCCTCGGGGTGCAGGAAGGTGAGATGTGGGTACAGAAGTGGGTCCGGCCGCTGCTGTGTCCTAGAGGACCAGCGTCTCCTCCCCAGCCCTGCCGTGGTTTGAATGTGGCCGCTCCCTGCTGGGGCGTGGTCCCGAGAGGATACTGGCACGCAGGGACCAAAGCAGCTTCCCTGGGAGTGGCGAGAGTGTTAGCAGGAGGGTGTTTCTTACGAGTGGAGTTGGGCTGCCTTGGTTTTCTCTCACTTCCTCTTTCACCACGAAGCCTTCTCCTCTGTGCAGCCTGCTCCTGCTTCTGCTCCCTGCTGTTCACGGAGGAGGAGGATCTTCGCTTCAGGAACTCCCGGGCCAACTGTGGCCTCCCATTGCAGAGCAGCCAGAGCCACGCGTGGAACTGCAGCAAAAGCATGACTTTGCATCCAGTACCTCACTCATCTTTTCTTTTTTTTAGTAGGAAAAATTGGTGTCATTTTAAAAATTATTATTTAATTTATCTATCTTTTCTTAAGTTCTTTTATTGGTACATTTTAGGTATACAGTATGCTTACATTTATCATTCGGTGTTTGTACCTGCATATGATGTATCTTGGTTATTTTTCCATTACCTGTGCATCCTTCATCCCCTCCACCCTTCCTTATTTACACAGACTTGGTTTCCATTTTTCCCTTTTCTCATAATTTTTCCTTTCCCTTCTTTACTTTCCCCTTCCCTTCCCACTTGCACTACCCCTTCGGACCTTTTCTTCCTATTTCAAATTATGAATTATTCATTTTCATCCTTATTTACACTTTCAGTTTCTTACACTAGAGAAACTATTAGGTATTTACACATGTGTGTCCTATTTATTTCACTTAAGAGGATGGCCTCAATGTGCATCCATTTAGCTATAAATGACTCTAGTTTCTTGTTCTTTATGGCTGAGTAGTACTCCATTGTATAGAAAAACCCACATCTTCTTTATCCAGTTTCCAGCTGATGGGCACTTGAGCTGTTTCCAAGCTTTAGCTATTACAAACTGTGCCACTATGAACATGGGTGCACATATATCGCTGTGGTATGATTCTTTGAATTCTTTGGGGAAGATCCCCAGTAGGGGAATAGCTGGGTCAAATGGGACCTCCAGTCCTTGTTCTTTGAGGTATCTCCATACTGATTTCCACAGTGGTTGCACCAGTCTACACTCCCACCAGCAGTGGAGCAGGGTTCCTTTCTCCCCACATCCCCGCCAGCATTTGTTATTGGTTGATTTCGTGATAGCAGCCACTCTTTCTGGGGTGAGGTGGAATCTCAGCATTGTTTTCATCTGCATCTCTCAAATGACCAGTGATGTTGAACATTTTTTCATGTTTATTTGCTTTTACTTCTTTGTCTGAGAAATGTCTGTTCATTTCAGAAGCCCATTTTTGAATTGGGTCTTTGAGCTTGGGGGTCTGACTTTTTCAGTTCTTTATATATTCTAGAGCATAGCCCTTTGTCTGAGGAACAGCTGCTAAATTTTCCCACATTATAGCACTGTACTCATCTTCACGGTGCCAGGCCGTGCAGCAGCTAGGGCTCCACCAGGCTCTGTGCGGTGGCAGCTGGGCTTCCAGGCCCCTAGGGGCCTGACGGGGTGACTCTGAAGGGTGGGGCTCTACAGTTGCTTGGTACATCTTGGACTGTCAACTCCACACCAAGGTTATTGCTATTCTTGATCATGATGGGCATGGTAAAGTTGTATAACTTTTTTTCGGTATGGGGATCGAACTCGTGTCCTTCCGCTTGCGAGGCAGGCGGCAGAACCACTGAGCTAAATCCCCGGCCCCAAGTTATATAACTTAATCAATAAATTCGAATTGAAAATCACATGTTTATATTGAAACTAACACATCATGAAGCAGAGTGTAGGATTTCCTTGAATTTTCAAGATTAAACAAAGGCAGCCACAAAGTTTTATTATTATTATCACATTTTTTTGGTGCCGGGCATTGAACTTGGCCCCTTGAACTTGCAAGGCAGGCGGCAGAACCACTGAGCTAAATCCCCGGGCCAGCATCCACAGAGTTTTGCATTGGTGTATCTAGGCCCCCAGAGCCTCGGGGGAATGAGATTTAATGATGAATGAATATATTTAATAATATCTTATAGATAAAGGGAAAACTCTCTTCAGCCATCCTGATTTCTTCTCTTCTTCCCTCATCAGAAGTAATCCCTGTTGGCATTTGGGTGAGTAGTTATGACATTGTGGCCTGTCAGGAGCAATTCTACATGATTTTTGGGAAAATCATTTCATAGATAAACTATGACTATAGCGGTCTGAGGCCCAATGTCTCCTTTCCCACAAGCTGGCTATGACATGCGGGAACGTGACTCCACGCTTGGCTCTGGTCACAGCTGAGGCCTCAGTGGTCCCGTGATGCTGTGAGGCT